TGGGACCGCTGATTTTCCTGATTTATTTCAACGACGTGAATCTGGTAATTGAGGGACCACAATTATCTTACGCAGATCACTTTAAACTCTACCTCCGAATTCACTCAATTGAAGAGTGTTGCTTCCTTCAACGTCAGCTGAATGCTTTCGCTGATTGGTGTATTCTGAATCGTATGGAGGTTAACCCGTCCAAATGCTCGGTTATCTCTTTTTCGCGCAAGAAAGAGACTATTATGTTCAAGTATGTTTTTTAGGCACTGAAATTGAGCGCGTCAGCCAAATTAAGGACCTAGGCGTGATTCTGGATACAAAACTCTCTTTCAAGCAGCACATCTCTCACGCCGTCGACAAAGCTTCCAGAATTCTAGGGTTTATCTTAAGGATTGCCAAAGACTTCACGGATATCTACTGCCTTAAATCGTTGTACTGCTCCTTGTCTCGCTCCATATTAGAATACTGCTCGGTTGTCTGGACTCCTCACTACAACAACAGTGTCGAAAGAGTTGAGTCTGTTCAGCGACGGTTCCCAAGATATGCGTAAACTGCCGTGGACGGATCCCTTCCGATTGCCTAGCTACGAAAGTCGTTTGCAACTGATCCATCTGGAGCGCCTGTCGGTCCGAAGAGATACAGCAAGGGCATTGCTAATTGCGGATATTTTGCAAGGACGCACCGATTGCCCTGTCCTCCTTGAGCAAATTGACATCAATGTTCAACCCCGAGCCCTACGGAATAATTCAATGCTGCGCCTGCCCATGCAGCGAACTAATTATAGCATGTTCGGTGCAATCGGTGGTTTACAGAGACTTTTCAATAGGGTATCCGCACTGTTTGATTTTGACCTGACTCGCCAGCTGCTTCGCCGGAGGTTTAGTTCGTTTTTTTCTAGATCAGTTTAGTTTGTTTAGTAATGTTCCTTTTTTTACGAGATGACTATCTATGTACTTATTGATGTTTTGTTTTAGTACTTTTCATGTTCAGTTTAAGTTACATCATTGGGGCAAATAACGCCTGTTGATGTTCAGTCATATAAATAAATAAATAAATGTCTTAACAGAAATTGGGAACGTTAATTATGTTTTCAATATTACTAAAATGATCCTGGTGGTCGAGGACCTGCTGTTAATTTCAGGGCTCTTCGTTGAAATTTGATGGACTTGAAATAGTTCAGGGGATTCCGTACAAGTTTAGGAAGCTTTACAGATGTTCAAGAATATTCGTTGAAGATGCTCTGAAAACTCCTGAGAAGTTTATAGATGTTCTGAGATATTGGTAGAATAAAGAGAGCTTGAAGAAATGATTATGAATCTTGGAAGAAAATCAGTTAACTTCGTAGAACTTGGGAAAATTTTCAAGAAGTTGAGGTTGTAGATATTCAAGGAAAATTTTAAAATTATAGGGAATTTGTTCAAGTTTAGCAAAGATTGGAGAAATTCAGTGAACTTTTCAGAAGTTTCGGAAACTTTGTGTGAGCAATTTAAAAATTCTTGAAGTTACGGAAACTGCGAAAAAATCGACGGACCTTTCCAAAAATTGTAGTATACTTAATCTGGTACAAATATAAAATTTAAGACAAAGTCACAAAGAACGTGAGACCCTTATCATTCACAAGTTCAAGAGAAGTTACCATGCATATAATAGCACTGATCTCGATAAGAATATCAAATTACAAGAAAACCGAGGGGGACGACTCTATCTACGATGCAGAAAAGATTGTGCTTTGCTGTGGCTAGCTGCGCGCACGCTGAGTAGACGAGTAGAAGATTGACGACGATTCTGAAGATTTCCTGCAAAAAGATGTTGCGCGATGCAAATAGATGCGAAAAATGAAAGAAGATTTTTTGAAGATTGATTCGCTAGTGTGAGATTTGTTAAGCATCTAGAATTCATATTTAGACACATCCCCCTCGAAGAAAACCATGTTTTGCAAGTGGGTACATGTAGCTCATTATTCAAGTGCATCCACCCTGGTCGAAATTCATAAGAAACTTTTTTTTTCCTATTTTCATTGCTAACGCATGTTTTGATACTACGTTCAATAACATCCGTTACGCTTTACCACTTGAAAACGAAACAGAGAAAACAACAGCTCAAATTACTACCCGCTACATTTCATGCAGTTCAATACTCACCCGACCTACATTCTATGTTGTGATTATTCATCAATATCCATAACCAACAAGTCGTGTGCGTATGTGACGCTTCTTGAAAACACACTTTTAACTAATAGCCAAATCGAAGCTGATTGGCTAACCAAATAATACAAAGTAACTCCAAGCACCTCCCACTAGAAAAATTATTGAATGGAGTTGTCAAACAATTAACAAGTTTAGAGAACTATACAGAAATTAAGGAAAAAAAAGTACAGGAAGAATTGATTGAGTTCATATGGAGCTGAGTATAAGTTCAAGAAACTTTAGGGAAGTACAGTCAACTTTCGCTCGTTCGGCTAAACCCAAAGCCCACTTAGTGAAAGGCTTTCGTTAGTTGGATTGAGCTGTCAAAGCGGAAATTTTTTTGAGGGATACACCGATTGTTTATTATCATCAGAATCGTTTAGCAGCTATCCAAATTGTTCATCCATGAGCCCCTCGAAAATGAATCAGCACTGTCAGAAATGACGTTTACGTTCGACGTAGGTGGGCTACAGCCAGGCATGGAAAATCATTTACATTCACTTCATGCATTTATTTACATTCATTTGCCTCTAACTTTTTTCATCAACAAAATTGGGTCATTGCTGTATTACTCAAAAAAGCAGTAAATCATTTTAAATGCATCCGATTGATAGTTCACGTGTAAACAACGAACAAAAAGAAGACCACAAAAATCTCCGGGCGTAATTCCGCTCTCACAAAATTTGCGAACGAAGAACCAAGGCGAACAACAAACCAAAAATCCCGAGGGTGTATTTCCACGGCGTATCACCAGTGTTGGCAGTTCAAATGGTGGAATATTCGGGGGGTAATAACATGTAAGAATTTATCAGGGCGTATGATGTTTTCTTCCCAATTTCACGGAAAAAAAAACTTGTTTTGAGTTTTAAGTAATGCATGATGATAGATTACACTAAAGGGTGTCCCACATCAAATTGCATCACGGAAAAAAAACGCTGTAGAAAATTACTTATTGACCGATCCTTTTCAAACTTTCAGACAATAAAATATAACCCACTAGTAAGCTTTTGGTATATTTATTTCATTCAAGTTCAATACAGCTCGCACCTTATGCTTAACTCCACTCATTAGGTTCTGTACAACATCTGGCTGCAGCTTCTTCTATACGGAAACCCACTTTTTCTTCATGTCTTTCTCAGATTTGACCTCCTTGGAATGCTTCCGTAGTGCCTGCTTCATAATATCCCAGTATTTTTCGATGGGCCTTAGTTCCGGTGCGTTGAGGGGGGTTCATGCTTGGGTACGAAAGTGACCCCGTTGGCTTCGTACCACTCCAGGACAACATTTGAATAGTGGCACGAAGCTAGATCCAGCCAAAAGATCGTAGGGCCCTCGTGTTGTTTCAACAGAGGAAGCAGACGCTTCTGTAGACACTCCTTGAGGTAGATCTCCCCGTTTACAGTCCCGGTAGTCACAAACGGTGCAGTCCGTTTGCCACATGAGCAGATCGCTTGCCAAATCATGTATTTCTTGGCAATCTTTGAAAGCTTCTGCTTCCTTACTTCTTCCAGAACATCGAATTTGTGCTGGGCGGTGAAGAAAAGTAGCCTCGGAAGCTGCCGGAAGTTTACCTTGACGCAAGTCTCATCATCCATGATGAGATAATGAGGCTTCGTCAGCATGTGGGTGTACAGTTTCCGGACCCGTGACTTTCCCACCGTATTTTGCCGTTGGTCACGATTTGGAACCCTCTTCACTTTGTACAGATGCAGTCTCTCCCGGCCCTTGGTTTTCTGAGCGAAAGGACAGATTCAACTTTTTGGCCACATCCCTGACCGAAGCATTGCGATTCCGCTTAAACGCTTTCACGACACGCTTGTGATCCTGATCACTAATAGAACATCCATTCTGACCGCATTTCTTCTTCTGTTCGATGCTCAGAGTTTCGTAGTAACGTTTAATCACACGACTCACCGTTGAATGCACGATTCCGAGCTGTTTTCCAATGTCAATGAGAGTTGAGGATTTTCCAGGTGCTTGCGCAAAATCAATTCGCGATGTTGCTTTTCGGGTGACGCCATTTTTTCCAACTTTCGAAAAACTGACAGCGATAAAAATACAGTGTAAACACTCTGAACTACTTCTACCCAAATTTTCAAGAGAAAATACCTAATGGGTAATTTTCGAAAACCGTTTTTTCCGTGGTGCAATTTCATGTGGGGCACCCTTTATTAACTATATGTCAAGGTAATAAAAAATCCAGAAAATGGAAAGTCGTGAAATAGGATTAATTTTTAGGTGATCAAAATTCGGAAGCGATTTTCTCGATATGGTGATTTTGGAATTCCACCCTTTTTAAATGTTAATCTGAAAATGTATCAACCGCAAAGTTTGTTTACAACAATATATTTGCACCCGGCGAATGTTCTTAGACCATTACACAACATTCACTTCACTGAGGGAAACCGTCATTTGTGTATGAGTGTGTAAAACGAAGCAAAAATGCATTCGTATGGGCATTTTTGTTATTGATCATAGCGATGACGAGTGTAGATTAGCAGTTCTCTGAATGTCGCCTGTAGGGTGCCTCAAATAGCCTAGGCACTAAATGCACGGTATTACTAAGCCGAAGACGCGGTGGGTTCGATTCCCGGGTTGGAAATTTTCTCGACTTCCCTAGGCATAGAGTATCATTGTGCTTGCCATACAATATACAACTTCATACACTGGTTGGCATAGAAAGCACCCAACTGTGGAATTGCATCTAGAACACAAAGTTAAGAGCCGGCAGCAGCGTAAAAAACCTAGAAGAAAAAGAAGCATGTTGCCTGTTCTACAGCAGTCAATAGTCATCGATAGTACGAATCACGATGATTAGTTAACGGGAATGGTTGCATCCAAGTTTCATCTGTGTACAAATCATTTGCAACTATCGACGCGTTTCGTTTACACAATAGTACAATGGTTACTACTGCTAATGAGTATTGCAATATCATCAGTGCCTCTGAATGTGAACAAATCGTGATAAATTCACTAAGTCACCGAAACATTTCCATTCGCACCTATAAGATTAGAAAGATTCCCGGACATCTTGGATTTCTTGGAGAATACTTCCAATTGGAGATTGTGGTGGAGGTATGGAACTTGATCAATTTTAATATACGTCCATTTAAATTAAAACAAACTCATTCATCTAGGAGGGCGAAACGCAATGGAGTGAACATTATTTCCTCAAATCGCTTCCCATTGCTGACACAGCGCAACGAGCCATGATGGAAGGGCTTGGATTTTTCCGGAAGGAGGTCCGGATTTATTCGGATATTCTGGTGAACTTAAACCAGCAATACTGCAGGTGGCACCCGGCTTGCTACTACACTAGGGACGATTTGATCGTAATGGAGGATATGACGCTGCGACACGGATTTAGAATGGTTCATTTCAACAATTCTTTAGAACAAGCACACATTTACGTTGCACTGCAAGCGGTTGCACGGATGCATGCTGCATCACTCAACTATGAGGTGAATCATCTCAGTGGAAGAAGATTGGATGATGTTCACAGTGAAGTGTTGTTTGAAACAACGGTTTCGCACCAAAATTCTTGGTTTCTAGCGGGGTTAAGTGTAAGGCGAATATGCATTTTTTTTTATCCAATATATTCAAGTTCTTTAGCTTTTAGGCAATCAAGGCAGTCGCCTTGAATGGGACTAGGTACTGCAAAGATCCCGACAAGAAGAAAATCATAGAAGAACAGCTAGATGCCAAGTTGGATCGCGTCTTTGAAGTAGTCAAACCGACTGATCAATTTCAGAACGTTCTGGTACATCGAGATTTGTGGCACAACAACCTTATGTTCCGGTTTGAGAAGGACCCCTTAACTGGTTCGAACAATTTGGATCGACCCAATGCCTGCGTTCTGGTAGATTTTCAAATCTGTCGCTATCTTCCACCGGTGGTCGATTTCCTTCAGGTTCTTTTCCTCACCACCAGAAGATCGCACCGAGATCAGCATTTTCAGCACTATCTCGAGTTTTACCACAGCTCGTTGACATCTGAACTTCGACGGTTCGAGCTTGATGCGGATCATATTCTCAACTGGAACCAACTGGAACGAAGTCTGCATCATTATTTGATTCTCGCACACATCTTCAGTGGAATATACCTTCAGGTGACGAACCTACCGGAGCATCTATTGGATGAGCTTCACCGGAATGATCCCGAGTTGTACAACCAGTACTGCAACGTCAACCGGGACGGATTTGTACTGAAGTGCCTACAGGAGGACGATTTCTACCGGGAAACTTTGACCGAGTGTGTTGAAGAGATGCTGGAGTATATTTTTGGATTCTGATTTAAATACAGTACTGGAAGAAAGTTTATCAACTCGTGATTTTTTCTTTCGCTTCAAAAAAGTGCAATGGGCTGTAACCAGCGAATCCAAACACATAAAGCAACCAACGATACAGACAAAACGGTTGCTACGACTACCATGACAAACTCGCTCTGTAACATAGCTCGATCGGAGTGGTAGAAGGATAATGATATATTGTTTGCCTGCTTTGTTGCAATATACACGGATGAGGACATAGCTTGCTTGCATAGCTGAATCGAGAGAAGCAGCTTGCCAACTATTTGCTAATTTTCTTCTACCGTCCCGAGTGAGCTGTGTCGCATGGGCTGCTTGTCATGTAAAAAAAAGAAGAAAATTATGTCATTATTGCTTTCCACTTCTGACATAGCGTTATCATTCGATTCGTTGATTGCTTGTCATTTTGTCATTTGGAGATATTCTTGATTCCTTGGCTGTAACTTTTCAGGATGTCTAATCTAATGTAATCTAACAAGAACACAGCCAGTTCACGAAAGCATCCTGGAAAATGATAGATATATCTCCATAATTTTTCCTGTCTATTTGGTATATGTTGCACATCAGATATGCGCAAAATATGCCAAAACTGGCCAGGGTGTTCACAGTTAAATTACATCACTTAGAAGTACTCGCCAAAAATAAGTCTCTACACCGATTGTCATGAAATTGTCAGGGAATGTAATTGTTATTGTTATTGTGCCATACTGGAGGGGGCATTGAGCCTGGTCGCAAGTGTAATGTTGATGACCAATTATACACCTTCCATGCAGCAATCAAATAGATAAAGATGAGATGGCTCTTAGATAATGACTTATGCGAGTCGATTGAAATCAGCCGAATATAAAGTAAGAGTTAAGTTGACCCTTAAAATAGAAGCGTAGATGCATAGGTAAAAGATAAGAGAAAGGTGAGGTAAAGGTGTAGAAATGGAGAATTAGATGTCGTCGAGATTGAATGTATGTTTGAATAACGTTGATCCAGATACCTATCATATAAATTTGCATATCTAGTTATGATTATTGTCAATAATACTTACATTTCGATAAAGATGATGCTACCTATTTTACCTTTTATGTGATGCTCATCATCATAGAATCCAACCTTGAATCGTAGACCAGGTCCATCAACAATACACTCGTGCCGAGAAGGGGCTCATGGTCATCTTCTTCTTCTGCAGGATCCCTCATCACCCGGAATGAAGGCTCGGTGCGGTTAGTAATATCAAACAGTGTTAAATGCAAACGAAAAAAAGATACAACCAGGATTAGTTTTTTAAAGTAATAGTTTCATCTGAATACCCAACTAACCATATCTCAGTGACATTGTCTCACTCTTAACCTACATTTAAAATTATTTTGTGATTATATGGTTACTTTGGTACTCAAATGAAATGTTGCGCAAGTACCACAAGTTCAACAACGCCCAACTATGGACAGCTCAATTTTAATACCATTTACTCTTTGAATCAGTGTACACCAACATGATAATCTGCTTAGAAACATCTAAGAATGTAAAGAGATAAAGCTCAAAAATACAGTTTTAACTGACCCTGCAAACACATGGCGCCTGCACGGTAATGTGGGCCGTCAGAATGGTTCATCGATTGCGAAGTGAAGTGCTTCTCAAACTGAAGCGATACATTTCTCATTTTTTCAACCGTAAACTTAATATTATCACCCATGTACCCGTCACGCCCGAATCCCATCCACCACACAAAATCAAATAAAAATGTTTCTGTATGGCAAACACGTCTAGACATAAACGAGAATATGGGTGTATATCTTCACTGTAACAACTACGGGTAATCATCGAAAGTACTTGCATTTTACTCAGGCACTTTTGAGCAAACTGCAATCACTCTCTCAAACTCGAAATGTGCCACGACCAAATTGGCACAACGACGCCCTATACGCTATCTGACCAAAGCGCAGTGTGAAATTGCATCTTTATCCATATCTTTATTTCACTCTATTTCTTCACCAAATCCAAATGCCCGAAATTTCTTATTAATTCAAAAGTGATTTGAGAAACGGAAGCAGTCGTTTTTCATTCATCTAGACTTGGACATTTACGGTCGTAGTTGTTAAGGCCGGCGCACAATGCATCATCTCTCTTTACCAAACTCCCCCTTTGGTAAGAGTTTGGTAAGAGTTTGGTAAGAGTTTGGTAAGAGTTTGGTAAAGAGAGATGAAAAAACCGGTTTGTACCTTCCTTAAAAGTTGTCCTAGCTCGCTATTCTAATATCTATATACAATCTTCACACTGCCGTACTCCACGGGACTATCAACTCTATGCTTTCATCTACTCCATCTATCGTATAAAAATTACCACTACAGTCTGTTATTTGAAATTAGCATCTTCAACTATGTAAATCGTTGACTACACGTAGAAGTAATACTAAAAACATATAGTCAAAGCACTTTTTCTTGCACTCACTTGCTTCCGATCGACAGCTAAACGTTCTCCGAAACTTTTTATGACACGAGAAACAGTAGATTGTTGGAGTCCCAAAATCTTTCCGATGACTCGGTGTGAAAAAAGTGGGTTGTTGAGGTGAGTGTGCAAAATTTTCTCACGCATTCGCTGTTCCTTCGACTTCATTTTCAAAAGTACTACAAATTTCTCAATGAAAGGCTAAATGTTACAGTTTTTTTTAATGATGCAATTTAACTGTGGACACCCTTTATGCAGCATTTCAGGGGCAAGATAATTCAGAAATATCGGGTCAAAGATTTAAACATGATGCTTCATAATCCAATAAATGGATGACAAGTGTACATCTCGTACCGTACGTTCCGTTGCATTGTTATTTGTAAATTATTGGTCGTTGGAAGCATCTAGTCTAAAAAGGTTAAGTGATGCTTCATTTTCCTCTAGTGGTCGGGACATTAGCACTAACTCTTGTCCTAACGCAATATGGCTTATGGTTATAGCACCGACAAACCGACAGGACACTTAATTCTGACTTATACCTGAAAATCGGAAACGACCGATTTAAATGTGCAGTGATCCGAACTGTCAAAACCATAGAATGTTTTGATCTAGATAAAAAAATAATTTGTCCAGAATAGATCAGACACAAACCAATTTATAACTTTTGCATGCGGGTTCATGGCTTCGTAAAATATTTCCCACGAACACGGAGCCAGATGTCAGTACAGTCGGAATTCGCTGGTTGGGCTTTTAATACTTGGGCTGCTTTTTAGTTGGGCCTCCGCTAGTTGGGCGGTGACCCAATTAAAAAGCAACTGGATGTCAAAATCTCTTGTCAAATTGCAGTTGACAACCAGACGTCAATTCTTTCTAGGGGTGAGCAAATGCATTTTACATTGCGTATTGTGTTTAATGAATGTTTATTTGAAATTAATACAAAAATAATTAAAATTGCACACATTACAGGTTTCGTTTTTGCCACTCAGCTTCAATCAGCTTAGTTCTCAAGGATCTGTTCATGGGACATTCCTCCCGACACTGCCTCTTCAATAATTTTTAATTTGTCCGCCAATGATAGTGTTGTGTGTTTCCGCTTGGATCCCGATCCATACTCCATTGTAGAATGCTGAAGATGAGAGCATTTATTTACATATTTAACATAACAATAAGTTCAACTTATTACATACCTGTTTTGAATACGATGTATGTAGTATTACGCAGAGTACCACGCTTCCAATGAACAAGTACCATTAATTCCGCTTTTCGTAAAATTTACACAACCACAACAAACAATGCGTGCACCCCTCAAGAAATTTCACTCTTCTGTCAGTTGGCCCAACTAACGAATCGAATTCGTTAGTTGGGCCGAGGTGGTGGCCCAACCAGCGAATTTCGACTGTAGTGTGCTTTAGTCAGAAATTTTTTTGTCGATGCTTGTTCTACGAATTTTGACAATTTTCATGTGTCCATGGTTCAACTATTCCAGAAGTTGGCATTTTTCCAAGGGGTAAGATAACTGAGAATAAAATTACAAGATCCAAAATGGCCAAATATTTGCTAAGTGTGAGTTTCGACTCACTTGCTATAAATAATATTCGGAATTATAAAATCAATAGATGTTAACCCAAGCAACCAAAAGTCAATCAGCTATTCGAAGGTTTATGAAGAGAATTCTATTCAGCTTACTTTTTAAGTAATTAACCGAACTTCCGAGTTCATATTCGATGTTTAAGCTTCTAACAAAATGCTGTTTCACTTTTAAAAAGAACTTGAAAGTTCATAAAAAGTTCGTTTAACCGTTGGAAGGAATGCTATTCAGCCCAAAAAGAAAACTTGAATGAAATCAACAATCCAAAATAGAAAACAAATATATCTATTATTTTGCTGCTTACCAAGTTCTCTTCTAATTTGTTATGAGCTACTGCGTCGTCGGAAGATAAGTGTTTACAATATGGTCAAATATTTAATTTAAATTACATGTTTTTAAATTACTTACCGCAAGTCTCGAACTCGAGTCCTACTCTTTGAAACCGAGATACATACCACTGCTCTATGTGAACGAAGTGGAATATCATATGATTTTACTCGATACGTTGATTTCATTCATAAAAATGGTTTTCTGAGTAGGCCTAGGGCTATAAATACATATTATAATATAATAATGAATAACTACTGCTCACAACTAGGCTCACTATTCATTACTAAGTAATAATAGGAATATTTAATCAATGTCACCAAGCTCTAAATTTGTGTTCATAATTTCACAGCCAAACAAAAATCAACAGTGATTATTCTTGCTGTGGCAACCGAACCTGAGGATGCACTGCTCAAGCATTAGTCAGTTTCGTACTCTCTGGAACTCCATATGACAACCGCAGACATGGCAAAATAATTTATGTTTAATTATCATTAAATTTTATTCTCTCAGTGAGTTCACATTACAACGAGAAATTGCAAGTTGAATATGTGTTTATTTTCGGATTACATACTTTTAAAAATGTATATCATTTGAGCAGAACAATTTTCTCCTGCAAACTCTTCTTTTTGAGCATCTTGAGTTCTCGGAATCGAGAGCTTCTTTCATACGACGATCCTTGTCTACATGGAAAGCGAATGCGATTTTTCGAACTCGCTGAATGAGTTCATTCGAAATTTGAACCTGCCGCCTGCATAAGTAACACCATCATAGATCTCACGCCGTGCTACGACTGAAGGCCCAAACGCAATGTGGGCGGAAGCGGAACAGAAACGGCAAGTTTGGCAATTCTTTGGTACAACCAATGTAAATATTTACCTTATTTGACAAAACCCAGGTAATCATGACAGCAGTAGGCCTCTTTTCTTCATAGCATTAAGTTCTGTTTGTACGTATAGTGTCTTGTTAATCAGCAAGAAAGTTCCACGGAACTAAATTTGAACAAGATGTGAACTTTTGAGTTTGTTTCTCAAGTAAAATCCGAACTTGAGATTCCTTGGGAAAATCATATTTTGAACTTTTAAGTAAAAACAAAAGATTGTAAAGTATATGTTTGACACATGAAACCTGTCAATTTAGCTTTCAGAGTGTCACAATCAGCGATTGTATAATTCGTGAGCGTTCACTCACAAATTTACTGGTTTTATGTATGAGACACTTGCCTTTCAATTTCTACTTGTATCTACCATCAAATATCATTATAAAGTCTGGAACGCGCAAAAATGGGTCAACTTCAAATTGGTGTATTTCTGTTAAAAATGCATAAAAAAAAAACCTGAAAGCATTTGGAAGTTGAGTGTATCTAAGATAAGAGGTGACAATACGGGGGCGAAAATGAACCACTTTTCTGTCAAACGTGAACCAGCTCCTGATTGGCCGATTTCATGTGCGTGACATAGAGATAAAGATAGATAAAGAGAGAGAGATAGAGATAGAAATAAAAGAGGAAGAAGCCAATTGTCTTCTCTTCCTCTTAGGAGTGTATATACAATGGTTGCTATGATGAGTTTTCACCGTTTGCTCTCCAGTTTTCAAAATGACGTCCAAGCAAGAGGAGTCAAAATTTTGCTCGCGCAGCAAGAAAATCCGACGTTCTCACACGCCAAGTTGGCAAAATTGCTGGATGTGGCCAAATCGACCGTGACAAAGGTTTTAGAAGTGTTCGGGGAGCGTCTGTCGACCGTCAGGAAGCCTAGAAGCGGCGGCATTCGTAATCCGGACGTAGCAGCGACGACGAAGTAGGTGGCGGTGAAATATAAGCGGAATCCTAACCTCTCCATCCGGGACGTCGCTGGCAAGCTCAATGTCTCCCATACTACTGTGCAGCGGGCCAAAAAACGAGCCATGTTGTCGACGTTTAAGAAGGTGAAGGTGGCGAACCGAGATTACAAACAAAACACGTCGGCAAAGCAGTGGTCCCGAAAGTTGTATACGAATCTGCTCACAAAGTTCGAATGTGTCGTCATGGACGACGAAACTTATGTGAAGGTGGATTTCATGCAGCTTCCGAGACACGAGCTTTATACCGCATCAGGAGAAGGGAAGGTGGCTGAAATTTTCAAAACCATTAAACTATCGAAGTTCCCGAAAAAATATCCGGCAGACCATATGCACGTGTGGTCTAAAAAGCGGCATTTTTATTACTACGGGAACCATCAATCAAGAGATCTACGTTCAGGAGTGCCTGGAAAAGCAGCTGCTACCATTCCTAAAGCAACATAATAGACCTGTGCTGTTCTGGCCGGACTTGGCGAGCTGCCACTATGGGAAAAAGGCAATTGAGTGGTACGATGCGAACAACGTGGTTGTGGTACCCAAAGACCACAACCCTCCCAACAGCCCAGAACTCCGCACTATCGAACGGTGTTGAGCCTTGGTCAAACGGAATCTAAAAAAAACTAATAAATCCATGGAAAAACGAGCAACAGTTGAAATCTAACTGGCGTTCGGAGGCGAATAAGGTCGATGAAACCACTGCGCAAAATTTAATGGAAGGGGTTAAGCGGAAGGCACGGCAGCTCGGATTTGGGAAACCAAAAGAATAAACGAGCATTTTTTCTTTAAATGTATGATTTAAACTATCAAAAGAAAAATAAGAAGATTAATTTGATATGAATTTTGACTGAAAGAAACGATTTTTCTAGTCGACCAATTTTTGCGCGTTCCAGTCTTTAACATCGAACGATTCCAAAATTCCGAAAATCCTTTTTTTATAGCAAGTGAGTGGAAGCAAGCCTGCCCATAGCAAAACATATGTTTAATCTCATGCAGATCTGAGAAGGCCGTGTCTATTTTTTTTATTTGGCTCTGTGCAAAAATTAAAACAAGGTAGATTTTTTTAATCATTACATCGGGGTGGTGAGCTAACACACTGAAAAGAAGAAGAAAATATTTTAAAAGTTGAAACATCTCGGATTGTAGTTATCCATTTCTTAATGCCACTCAAAGTGTTTTTATGTTACTTCATACGCGAAGTTCGCAAACTTGAGAGTTGGTTGAAAATGCTATCGAACATAAAGCTTTTATGTGATAATTTATTAGCTAGAGAATGGTCTTAGAAGAGGGTAGGTAGATAGCTTCTAAGACCATTCTCTAGCTAATAAATTATCACACTAAAGCTTCATGTTAGATGCTATCCAACCAACCCCCCCCCCCATTTTATAATGTTATTCAATGTTGGAAAGGTTACTTTCTGAAATGTCTAATAATATGTTGGTCATGCTACATGGGTTTTTAATTGCACCGTTAAAACTGGATTATCATATTTTATATTTTATATTCGAGAGCCCATTATTCTTTCAGCAGTGCAATTACAAACCGGCATTCTAATAGATATTTTCGTACAAAAATTTGAAATAAAAAAAAAATATTAACAGTCGTACCAACCACCATGTGACATGACCAATTGAACCATAAGAAAGGGAAACTAATATCCTTTATAGGGTAGGGAACTACTTCGGCCTAATCGCCCATTTTGGGCCTATCGATCAGAAAACATCAAATAAATCCATGATTTCAGAGTTAACAAGTCAAGTATGCGTTTGGTACGATACTTTAGTTAATAAGCTACCGAACGAAGTCAATGAGAACGCGTGGTATGAAGGTTTGCACCTATTATTCCCAAAAACAAACAAAAAACGCTCCGACCGAATCAATTTTTATCATCATCCGATAGGCCGAAGTGAATTCAGTGGCGTTTCAATGGCGTTTCAATGCGGTAGGCCGAGTTTAGAATCCGTAAGCCGAGTTTGGCGTCAAGAAGCAGTTTTAGACTTTTGACAATATCTCAACGATTGGTTTCTCTTTATCAAATCTTACGGTACGTAAGGAAAGGTAAATAAATTTGGAAGCCATCAGTGATAATAAAATTCCAACAGGTGCTAAACTGCGCTAGATTAAGAAAGACTAAAAGCGGGTTGTGCTTAATAGGCCGGAAATGGGGTTGTTAACCCTACCAAGATAAAAGCATCAGAGATCCGTTTAAAATTACCGTAGAAATTACCAACATAGCGAAAAACATGCTTTTGGTATGGTGCTCGAAAATTTGTTAAGATAGCTTAAATGAATCTGATAATAATTTAACCATTATCACTATACCTATGTACTCGTTCATATTGAGACGAGTCCCAATTTGCTTAGCATTTTTTTCCGCGAGTCAGTCTCACGCGATCAGCGTCGCACGTCGCACTCGCAATCAACTGGATTCCTGTTTGTTGCCTGCGCTGTGCTATTAACGGCGAGAGGAAATATGAGTAGCTCAAGTTGCCTCGGTCAAGGTCAAGTGAGCTACCAAAAGCTAATCAGTGCCGAAGAATGTGAACAAATTGTGCGAAAATCACTGGGATCGGGGAACGATGCCACGGTGATTGCGTACGAAATTTCTAAGATTCCCGGACATATTGGGTTCCTGGGGGAATATCTACAACTTGAAGTAACCGCAGAGGTATGATTGTCGAATGCTGATAGATAATGTTTTGATTGAATTTCCAATGTTCCAGAACGCTGGAATTCAGTCCAAGGAGCGCTACTTCCTGAAATCGCTTCCACTGTCGGACAAGAACCAACGAGCCATGATGGAAGAGATGGGCTTCTTTCGCAAGGAGGTTGGCATCTATTCAAAGATATTGACCGGGTTCGAACATAACGAAGCACCATCCAAGTGGCGACCGAACTGTTATCTCACTCGGGACGATCTGATCGTACTGGAAGATCTAAAGTGGCGTCAGGGATTCGGAATGATGCATTTTCAAACGGCACTGAAGCAACCTCACCTTCATTTGGTACTGGCGACGGTCGCCCAGATGCATGCCCTGTCTCTGAATTACGAGTACAATTGCGTCGGAGGCCAACGCTTGGACGAGCTGTATGCGGATGTGCTGTTTGAGACGTCTGTTACACGAGATAACAGCTGGTTTATGGCAGGCTTGGCTGTAAGTAAGCTTGAACCCTAATTTGCAAATGAAGACAAACATGACAACAAATTCATCACTTCAGGGTATTAAGGCAATTGCGCTGAATGGCACCAAGTACTGCGGTGATCCAGTGAAAAAGCAAATAATGGAACAGGAAATTGACGACAAACTGAACCAAATATTTGAAATAGTAAGACCGACCACGACATTTCAAAACACACTGGTTCATCGGGACATTTGGCTCAACAATTTGATGTTCCAGTTCGAGGGCGACAACCTGCAAGCACCCAAAACTTGCATCCTTCTGGACTTCCAAATCTGCCGCTATTTGCCACCGATCATCGATTTCCTGCTAACGCTCTATCTCACAACCAGGAGATCCCACCGGGACGAATTTTTCCAACATTATTTCGACTTCTACTACTGTCAACTGGCGAGCAAACTGAGACAGTTCCAGTTGGATCCGGATCGGATCCTAAGTCGGGACCAACTGCAGCGTAGCATGTGGCACTACAAAATAGTTGCACACGTTTTTGCGGGAGTTTACCTAGCTTTGACCAACCTGCCGGCGACGGTGCTGGATCGGTTGCATCAGGACGACCCGGAACTGTACCATCAGTATTGCAATGGGAATCGGGACGAGTTTCTGCTCAAGTATATCCGGGAGGATGAGTTCTACCGCGAGACGATGACGGAATGTGTGGAAGAGGCTGTTGAATTTTTATTTGGCTTTGAAGAGGATTCCGCGAGGGTGCGTGTTGATGAAGATCCGTGAGCTCAGTATGAATTTTATCGAGTTGTAATAAATGAGAATGTGAGTTGAATTTTAATCTGACGCATGTAATAAGAGCCACAGCAATTCACTAATTTATTCACAAGGAAGATTTGTGTCTTCCGTTAACAGGGGGTCGACTCAATGAAGAAAACCAAATTCCCAGATTGTCCTTGATTTTCCAGCAATTAAAAAAAAAGTCCAGGTGCAGTGCCTACCCGGTTTTGGCAACTATTACAAATCTAAGTACTAGTGCTTTCTGGATATTTTTTTTTCAAGAAATACCACATGGGTCTCAAACCCATGAAGAGTTGGTTGGTTGGTTGTCTTTATTAAGGAGATTTTCAGCCAGACGCTGGTTAATCTCCGAGTCCATGAAGAGTGGTACTGTACAATCTCAAATTGAATAAAGCATTAGATACATTTTACAGAATGCGAAAAAGACAGAAATCGCGTGTTGCCAAAAACGGGAAGGCACAAATGTTAAACAAGGTAAGCGTCTGGTAATCACCGAGATGTTACTATGATTGATAGTGACGTGTGAAGGAAACTGTGAAAATTCTACAAAAAAAAGCGTTGCTTAATCGCTAAGAGTTTTCAGAAAGTTCGAGAACCGTTTCTTACTTTGACTTACTCCATGATACGAGAAGAGGTCCTTGGTATGGAAATTTCCTCACCCTTGGATATTTTTGTCTGACTGTTTTCGAACTCAACGCTAGAGGCATAAATTCACTCAGTTCTGCTACATATTACATATGAAACACTTGTCTTTATTCCCATTATATTGTTTATCCCTTGAGTACATTTTGAGACCCAGCTTCATAAAAAAATGGTTCCGGATAATGCGCTTAACCAAACGCTGATTCGCGGCCGGATTTCTCCGACGGAAATTCGTTAGAACAGCGCTTTCATCTCAAAAATTCTGTAAGTTAATTCGATCTTAATTGCAAAAGTAGCAACATCACAATACTAAAACTTCACTGGAAAGTTTATTTTCCTAGTTAACCAGGTTTACAATGAAGGCCTAGAATACTAGCTAAAGCCACTCTATGATACCAAGACAATGCTTAAAGTCATAAAAGTGCTACTGCAAGCAATCAAAAAAAAGTAGGAGGTTGTATCCAAGACACAACCGTAGATTTGGCGTAGGATTACGTACTTGATATTAATATTCGGCGACTGAGTTAGGGAAACCACGGAAACAAAATTAAGCACTTTCCAACCAACCGGACATCATCATACACGGTGCTTAAATAACGGTGCAGCGAGACCGGGTGGAATTCGATTTTGAAATCTGTGTTAGGGAAAGCGCTTTTTGCAGGTAATCGGTGATAATTTTGATCACCATTGCAACAGTTAGACATTTGTGTAACTTTCAATATTAACCTATTGAACATTGGTAAAGTGTTCATTTAAGCAGATTCGTAGAAAAATTTCCAATCGTTTGGCTTGCTTAGAATTAAAATTCATCCGCTATTGACAGAGTTATAAGTGGGAAAAACCTGACCACTTATCGTAACGCGGTCGATTTTGATTATTTAAAATTGCACCCCCAATATGCTGCAGAAAGACGTAATCCTACGTCAAAAAAATTCATCCAAGCAAGACCATTTCTCCTAGCTAGTCAGGCTGTTAAGAACAGAAAAGAATCATGCTCTTCTTTTAACTCTTTACCATTCTTGCATTTATTCAAAAGCGCTCAAAGGACGGTTTTTTTTTGGACACAGCTGGATCGAGCAGACGCACCAATCTACTTGAAGGGTAAATTTTGTCAGACGCAATACGCAATTAGGTGTAACATCTATTAAGAGACGCACATACCCATTTAGAGCTTACATCTTGCAAAACTAACGACGTCTAGCGTCTACGAAAATGGATGTTTATCATTCATCAGGATTTTAGATACTTAGATATTTACCCCTCATCGTCGCTCTCCAACGGGGGAGTTTGGTAAAGAGAGATGATCAACCCGATTTGTACCTTCCTAAAAAAGTTGTTTTTGCTCGCTTTCTACTCTCTATATATTGTATAAAAATTACCACTTTAGTTTGTTATTTAAAATTAGCATCTTCAACTATGTAAATCGATAACTTCACGCAGAAGTAATTCAAACAAATAGTTAAAGGATAAACACGTTAGAGATTATTTATTTATTGTTTAATAATTTTTAAATAAGGTTCAATCTTCTTACACTACTTACTCTATTTTAAATCCCGCTTGCATCAGGGACCCCCGTCGTAACATCCTACCTGAAGCATGGAAGTCGAGCAGCGATAAGATGAGAGCAATAGACGGCACCGTTGAGCGACTTCAAGCGTTTCGAGTTCAAGCAGACGGTACCCGAGCAAAGTCGGTTAACAAAATGAAAGCAAATCGATATTAAAGTGTGCAGTTCCTATCATAATGAAAACTCATTTTGATTTCAAATGTTGCGACATAAGTCTGATATCATATTGTGCTTTCATTATGAAGTCAAGACGTTTTAAATGAAAGCAACTTAACTTGAAGTTCTGCTGTTTACGTCTTGTTTAAAATTTAATTGAAATTCATCTGTCGTTGAACTAATGATTATCGTTTATCTGATTTGTTTAACACATTTTAGGTCATTCGTGACTTGCCCGCGGTGAGATTGTAGCCTAAGTCTTTCAGCTTGAGAAACATGAATGGTAACCATTTACTCTAGGCCCGTATTCAGTTAAACATTATGAATGCAAAATCAGTAATCAAATTGATTTCATTGAAAGCAGGATTAGTTTTCCGTTTGCTTCAACAGTGTAAAATTTTGCTCTCATTTTTGCTGTGTTAACCGTTAAGTCAACCAAAATGAGATCAACTGGAGTATTCAAAATAAGTTACATCATAACAGCACATTTTGATTTCAATTTGATCTTCAGCTTTGCTCGGGTATCTATCGGGATACGTTTGAAGGATCACGCCACGGTAGATTCCTGAGCAGGCATGGAAAATCATTTGCATTCATTTCGTGCATTCATTTACATTCATTTGCCTCTAACTTTTTTTTTTCAACAGCATTCCGCAAAATGATGTGCAGAGCTTTTGTAGGTTTTGTTATTAGCTACAACTTTTGTTAACAAGTGAAATCCGTATCTCTTATGCATGACGAAGCAGAGCGAACAGAAGCCACTACTGTTTTTCAGTGAATGTATTTTACATTCACTGAAAAACAGTAACAAGTTCTGCCCGCTCTAGTTCATGATGCATAAGATATACAGATTTGAGTTATAAGCAAAACTTGTAGCTAATAACAAAACCTACAAAAGCTCTATACATCATTTTGCAGAATGCTGTTGAATGTAAATGAATGTATGAAATGCGTTTTCAAGGATTGGTTGTACGGGGGAACAATACAACGCTTTTAGACAGTGTGGATCTGTGAAACCCTTGTCTATTTTGGAGTTTAGAGTCCTTAAAGATGCACGTTTTCAGCTGATTCTAGTCATTCATCTGAAATTAAAAACACCGTATAAACCGTGTGACTGCTGTTCGGAGCAGGGGTTGAAACAGTTGACGTTTTTTACCACACGCGCTTCGTGCGCGACAGTCTGTTTGTATTCGTACACTCATGCTCTACCGTTGTCTCTCTTACACAACACAAACGGTAGATCAGCATTCGAGAAAAAAAAAATGCGACGAAATAGTGTCATGTTTTGAACGCTTACAACATGGTCATTTATGAATGAAATTCAATTTTAACTACACCATTTTATTCAGATGTAATGTAAGATTTGTTTGGTATAAAGATGATAGTTGTTCATCAATGGTTAACTATTGTTCAAAGTTTTCAGACTTAATCAACCAATCACGTGCTCGCTCGCTATGACTATCGAGAGAACAGAGAGACGAGTCGGTGCCACTCAATACTTATTTATTTGTTTTTCTTTGCTTTTTTACATGCATTGACTTACATCAGCAAATTGCAGAAAAAAAAGTGGAGCTGCCAATATAAATGTAAGGGAAACGCAGAAAATTTGACTGCAGTCATCGTTTGGCTGCCGCGTGCTATAAAGGGATGTTCGTTTCGTTGAACACTAAAAACGAAACTAACTCAGAAAGTGACTAACTTTTACTCAGTTTTGAGTCACTTTTACTTATTCGTATGGAGAAATTTCTAAAAGCATGATTACGCTCAGCGAGTGTTGCCAGGTCATTTTCAAAAAAAATTCCCGTAAAAATCGGTCAGTATAATCATCAGGAATTAATTCAAAGTACCAGAATGTTTATGAATTACATGTTTAAATAAATTATGCAATGTCTTGTCCCCCCGTCTCGATGAGTCTCATCGTCGCCCACTGGTCACCATAGCCGGTCGAACTCCAGACGAAACTAGAACCGCACTACCGTTAATACTGGCGACAACGCTCTGATGAGAGAACGAAACCTTACCCCCAAGCTCCTCCTCTGATCCTATCCTTCGACAATGTACCTCTCTAACCTCGAGTAAGCCGCGAGTATTCGGTCCAACTCCTACTAGACATAGAATTAAGAGAATTTTGTTACAAACAAAGAACAATGAACTATCGGCTCCGTAAAGCTAACGCGATTGAGCCTTCCAAATAAACGAACTAGATAAAAAAAAAATATGTTAAGCAAATAACTTGTTAGCATTGCTAAAATCAAAAGTTAAGAAAAGTATTGAAACAGTGTGCCCAAACAGTTTAAATATTCATTAAGCAGAATTGCAAAAAATGAGTTATATTGTGGGTGAAATAGGGTAGAGAACTACTTCGGCTTAATCGCCCATTTTGGGCCTATCGATCAGAAAACTTCACATAAATCCATTATTTCTGAGTTGACAAGTCAATTATGCGTTTGGTACGATACTTTAGTTAATAAGCTACGGAACGAAGTCAATGAGAACGCATTATTCCCAAAAACAAAAGAAGCGCTCCGACCGAATCAATTTTTATCTTCATCCGGTAGGCCGAAGTGAATTCATGGACGTTTCAATGGTGTTTCAATGCGTTAGGCCGAGTTTAGAATCCATAGGCCGAGTTTGGCGTCAAGAAGCAGTGTTATACTTTTGACA